AAAGGACATGAACTCTGTCAAATTAAAAGCAGAAACAGAAAGGCAGACTAAAAAAGATTTTGAGGAGATAACTCACTAATAGCCAAAAAGCTTCCTCTCCCCCAGCAGGAGCAGGGAGCCTGCCGGAGAGTTCTGCAGGTGACCAGGGTGTGCAGTCAGCAGACGATCAGGGTGGCAAAGGAGTTTGAGAGAAAACAAGCCCTAACACAACAGCGAAACAGATTACTTGTGTCCACGTTCGGTGTAGAAAAGCTTAGTGAAATTCCCGTGGCAGAGCCATTTGTTAAGGCGATAATGCAGAGAAGCTGCCTCAGACTGAAGGGCCATTAGGTGAGGTTTTAGAACAAATAGATGTGAGGGATAGTAACAAATTCCTGAGAAGCAGATGTTACTTGTTTGTGGGGTTTTAAGGAATGTTAATGGGAAATTACTGCACTATTAGGGCTGGTGGTGTAGTGGGTTGACTCTGGCTGGACCCCCAGCGCCCACCAAAGCCACTCTATCACCACCCCCCCCCTCAGCTGGACAGGGGAGAGAAAATATAACAAAGGGCTCCTGGGTTGAGATAAGGACAGGGAGAGATCACTCACTAATTACCATCACAGGCAAAACAGACTCAGCTTGGGGAAAATTAACTTAATTTATTGCCAGTCAACCAGAGTAGGGTAATGAGAAATAAAACCAAATCTCAAAAAACCGTCCCTCCAGCCTTCCCTTCTTCCTGGGCACAGCTTCACTCCCAGATTCTTTACCTACCCCCCAGTGGCGCAGGAGAATGTGGGTTGGGGTCAGTTCATCACATGTTGTCTCTGCCGCTCCTTCCTCCTCGGGGGCAGGACTCCTCACGCTCTTCCCCTGCTCCAGCGTGCGGTCCCTCCCACGGGAGACAGCCCTCCACAAACTTCTCCAACATGGGTCCTTCCCACGGGCTGCAGTTCTTCATGAACTGCTCCAGCGTGGGTCCCTTCCACGGGCTGCAGTCCTTCAGGAACAGACTGCTCCAGCGTGGGTCCCCCACGGGGCCACAGGTCCTGCCAGGAGCCTGCTCCAGCGTGGGCTTCCCACGGGGTCACAGCCTCCTTCGGGCACCCACCTGCTCCGGCGTGGGGTCCTCCCCGGGCTGCAGATGGAGATCTGCTCCCCTGTCGACCTCCCTGGGCTGCAGGGGGACAGCCTGCCTCACCATGGTCTTCATCACCACGGGCTGCAGGGGAATCTCTGCTCTGGTGCCTGGAGCACCTCCTCCCCTCTCTCTTCATTGACCTGGGGGTCTGCAGGGCTGTTGCTCTTACATGTTCTCACTCTCTCCATATTCAATTGCGCAGGGTTTTTTTTCTCCCCTTTTAAAATCTGTTCTCCCAGAGGCGCTACCACCATCGCTGATGGGCTCGGCCTTGGCCAGCAGTGGGTCCGTCTTGGAGCCGGCTGGGATTGGCTCTGTCGGACATGGGGGAAGCTTCTGGCAGCTTCTCACAGAAGCCACCCCTGTAACTGCCCCCTCCCGCTACCAAAACCTTGCCACACAAACCCAGTACAGGTGTATAACCTTTTACTTAAAACAGCCGAAGAAAAAAGAGGATGGCATGTGACACTGTTTTCTTTTAAGTGCTGTGAGGGATCTAGAGAAATGCAAACCACTAAACCTGACACCCATGGCAGGCAAACGGTAAAAGTCATGGTAATAGAATAGTTGCAAGGACAGGTATGGACTAAGAGGGAAGAATTGGCAGAGCTTTGCAGTGAGGAGCGATGAAACTGTGCTTCACCACCCTCTTATGGCTTCAGAGGAAACAGTGAAGCTGCAGACTAGAGCAATCCACTCGGTATGATCTGCTCAGCTTCTGGAAAACCATTAATAACATCTGTCACCAAGGGCTCATAAAGAAGCTAATCTGGCATGGGATAAGATGGAAGATTCTCTCATGAGTCAGCGACTGCATGTAGCATAGAGAGACAAGGTAAGGATAAATCAGCTGTTTTTCACAGTGGAGAGAAGTCACCAATGACATCTTAGAGGGATCCGTGGTAGGGCCAAAGCTAACCCACAGACCCATCAGTCAGGCAGTAAATGGTGAAGTGGCTTGGTCTGCTGGTGGTACCAGCTTATTCAAGGGAGTAAAATGCAAACTGCCTGTAAGGACCTGCAAAAACCATCTCGTGAGCCTGAGCAAAGTACTGGCAGGTGAAATCCAGCGTGGATAACAGCAGAGAAAAACACATGGCTGAGTTGGGAGGAAGACCCCCTCATTACCCAGCCTCAGCAATGGCCTCTGAACCAGCTAGTACCATTCAAGACAGATATCTTGCAATTAGGTAGTTCTATTCAAATGTCAGTTAAAAGCTTGTTAGTGACTATAAAGCAATTAAATGTAAGAAATTATTAGGAAGGGAAGAGAGATGTAATTAATTGAATACAAGGTTCATCCTCTATCATGAGTACTGTGTGCAGTTCTGGTCCCTCCATCTCGAAAAGGGTATGTTAGAGTGAGAAAAGGTATAAAGATGGGCAACAAGGAATACCAAAGATATGGGATGACTTTATGTGGGTAGCAGCTACATAAACCAAGATTCTTCAAGGTGGGAAAGAGGGTTCCGAGAGGGAGTATGGTGCAGCATTATAAATTCAAGAAGGATCATGGAGAATCATTAGTCACCACTTCTCATAAGAGGCAAGAAAGGGGCATCGAATTATGTTTCCAGGTTCAAGACAAAGATAAAGGCAAGGAGCTCTGCTTCTGGGCAAGGAAATGTCTCCTTTTACAGAACCTGTTGTCACAAGATGTCGGGGACTACAAAAGCACCATACATGGTTTCAGAAGCAAGTCGACAAATGTGTGGAAGATAAATCATCTGAGGGCCATGAAACATTAAGCTACCCCTCAGCTGAGGAAGCCCCTGGGCCAGGAATGGCTGGAGGTGGCCCTCTCCACTGCTGGCCATGGCCAGAGATAGGACACCAGACTGATGGGCCTTGCAGCTGAACCTATTTTGACATTTTTTGTCAACCAGACAACTTTTAGAAGTATATTAGAAGAAACCCTGCCACCCTGCAGAGCAGAAGCACACAACCAGAGCTCTGGGGCTCTCGTGGAGCTATGAACATCCCATTAGCATTAGTAGTGTTTCTTGCTCCAGGATAAGATACACTGTTTGTTACTTTTCAAGATTAAAATCAAGATTAAGAAAAAATAGCCCATTCTCATGTTCTTTTTCCATGTATTACTATGTTCAATGTTAGCTGAGGGCAAAGCTGCAGTTTGACAAACCCTACGCCAACACTACTGCCAAAAGCAGCAGCTCTGTCCTCTCGTACTGCTGGAAAGGACAAACGATGGGGGAAGGAATGCAAAATTAGCCTTCAGAGCTGGGGAGAGGAGGGCAAGGCTATTGAAGGCAGGGCTGGCTTAGGCTGATCCCAGGTGCTTATTGACCTACAATTTAATTTGGTGATGTTTCTTCTGACAGCTGTCCCTACAATTTAATTTGGTGATGTTTCTTCTGACAGCTGTCCCTTGCAAAGGATAACTGTCCTCATCCCCGCTGAGAACAGCAGGAGCTGATGTCTGAATGTGGCCTTTCTTGGCCCTGTCAGGCCATCCCAAATCAAAGAAAACCCCTTGTTTATGAAAGGAAACACTACAGAAGTGACCTTTTCTCCATTATTAGAACTTTACTTATCCGTTCATCTTAGCCATGTGAATTCTTGAAGGAGTTTGATTTGTTTTGTAGCTGTAAGGACAAAAAAACCTAGACAAAAGTGGATGCTAACACTCTTGAATGAGCCATTTAAGAGCTAATGAGTGGTTTAATCGCTAACAGTCAGACCTATACTTTGAGGGTAAGCTCCAACTTTGGGGAGTGACTATCTTCAGCCACATCAAAGGGCTTGAACTGCTGAGGGGAGTGTAAAGCCCAGCTCAGCCTCTGCCATGAAGTGAGGATCTGGGCTTCGGTGGCTCAGCTACCTTACAGCAGAGGAGCTTGCTCATGTCCAGTTACAGACAAATTTGTCTTTGGAGTGTTTTAGCCTTAAATGGCTCTTCTCTCCCTTATGAAACTGCGGCTGGTGTTAAGATCCTTGTTGGTTTGTCACTGGTTTATTCGTATCAGCTGTCGCAAGAAAAGCAGCCAGTGCTCATGCGAAGTAGAAAAGAGATGTTTGCACTCCTTAGCCCATCCTGAAAAATCCTCTTCTGTAGAACACAGGCCATGTCAATGCTGCTATGGGGTGGGGGGGAATAATCTGTGTCTGAGAGCAAACCCTGAGAGGCTCTGAGAAAAAAAAAAAAAGATTTGTAAACAAGCGTGAGAAAAGATGCACAAAACTGTAGCTCATATGGGCAACTTCCTCTCGCAGAAACTTTGTGTTAAGTTCCCTGAGGAGTCATATGAGCAAATGCAGTGATCAGTGTCACAGATCTTCTCTTAAAATCCTGCTTGCATGGTCCCTGTGCATGACAGTGACCTACTGTTGCTTTCTGTAAGAGCTGACCTGGACCACTGTAATGCAGCACTGCATGGGGTTTTCTTTTCCTTGTAAATCATATGGAAAATGGTAAAGTTTAGTAGTAAGATGCTGGGAGCAAGGGCAATACTAGATTAGATTTGGTACAAGAGGAGAGAACTAGTTCTTACCGAATATGAACCTAGGGCATCCAATACCCTTTGGATGCAGATGAAGAAGTACTAAATTGATGTTATTTGTATTATACTGCAGCAATCTGATCCCTGTCATGTGAAGAATATTTACCATCTTGCCTTCTCCTTAACATGAGGCTAGGAGAAATGCCCAGGGTAGAAACAATGCCAGACAGAGCAGAAGGACAGCTGGACTAATACTTGGATCAACCCGTCATGCCAGGTGAGATACCACCGAGCATCTGCAATGGCACAAGCTGCTGTCTTAGGTTCCTTCTACTCAGTAATAGAATAAAAGTCCAAAGCTGCTACTAGGAGATGCAATACTATCCTGTTGTAAATGTGAAAGTAGCCTCTGGGATTCAAAGCTTGGCCCTCGATGAGGAGCCTGGCAGGGTAGCAATGCACTCTCCCACCAAGCGAGCAGCCTCTTTGGCTGTGCCCCTCTGCACCGAAAAGCCACCTGCCCCGTGCCCATAGTTGTGGACCACCAGGAGCTTAACTCCTCCTCGGCTCAAGACCTCTCTCTGCAGTCTCACGCAGTGCCGGGATGGCCTCAGGCCCACCTTCACCTTGATATCCTGAGCTCCCCGCAGTGAGGGCTCAAGGGAGCAACATCTGTCAAAGATGTCTTTGGTAGTGCCAGGATCAGGGGAGAGACTCCAGCTCCCCTTTTCCCTGGTTCCCCCTAGGGTTACCCTGTGTATCCCCGGGTAGATGTAAGCTAAGCCATCCCCGTCCCGGATGAAGTTTTTCACCCAAGGAGCATGAACCTTGAGTACTTGTCCCCTGACGGGGAAGAGCTTCTCGTCCCCCACCAGCTGGTGGGCTCCGATGCCCGCGCAGTTGACGACGACATTATATTCGCTGTGCAGGTCCCACAAGTCTGTAACTTTTCTGGTGTGCATCTGGACGCCGGCTGCTTTCAACCTACAAAAAGACTCCAGAAGTGAGGCAGAAAAGAAATCCCTAAACCCTCACACAATTATTATGCACATTAAGTAAATGAGATAGATTGCCTTTAACATACCGATCTAAACCAAACAGATGGGACAAAAAGCAAAGAAAATGTCACAGGGTTTCTGTTTGTGATTTGTCTGATTTTGTCAGATCAAAGCTATTGTTTAGCTTGTTTGGGCTGGAAAAGATACAGCAAGTCGATCAGTATTAGAGAAGGGTCTGGCATAAGACCCTAGGCAGACAGTCAGCTCCTCGTGGTCTCATTGATTCATTTCTATAACCATACCAAGCTTTAACAGCTCAAGCAAGCTGAAAAATATCAGACTTATTCCCCAACTTACTTCTGCTAGTGACAACACTATCATACTACACCCCCTTTAACGTGCCTGTTACACACCGTCGCATTCATTCCCAACTCACCCCCCTGATATTAGGCACCACTTAGTCATCTAGTGCCATGTGCGAAGCCCTGGGGTACCCAAGATGTCCCCGCAAGCTGGGCAGATGTGGCATGGGACCCCCAGGAGACCCATACCCTTCTAGAGGAGCAGCCAGGAGTCACCCAGGACAGCACAGAGCACTATACATCCATGTCTGCTCTTCAGCAAAATTCACCCCTTCTTGAGGTTCATCTTTGAGCTCAGTTTCAAGCCATATTCCACCCTGAACTTGCCTGAAGCTCGAAGCCTTTCCCTGGGGAAAAACATTGGTGTGAGATGGATGCTGTCTGCTGCATCCAGTCAGCTGGGGGTATTTAGCGGGGATCTTAGCATGAGCAAGTCAGGAGACAGGTCTGTGATGACAATACATTAAGTGGGGAATCCTGTCCTTTGCAATACTCCGGCAGCTGGCAAAGTGATCAACCCCACTGCAAAGGTAGTGGTTTCCTACAAAGCACTCACAAAGAGTGAGCCGAGGATGCGGGGCACAGCTGATGCTCTGGGGACTGGGGTTTGGGTGCAGCAGGACACTCAGGCTGGCTGGGAAGAAGAGGGGAGGTCTCGTGCAGCAGCTCTGGCTGGGCAAATTGCTGGGAGAGCTCCTAAGCATTGTAATTGGGACTCTGCCATCATGCCATAAAAAAATACACCAATAAAAAAACCTGCTGAAAACTCCTGAATTCAGGCAAGCAAGCAGGAAAAAATTCCTGAAGTCCATTTTTGGACCAGCAAGGTGGGCACAAAACCAATTTTCCTTGTGGATTGCCAAGAGAATGGTCTATAAATACTGCTCAAGTCACTAGGGGTTTGAGAATTAGTTACATGTTTAATATGCTCTCATTTCTCATCACCAGAGAGAAGAGAAAGAAAATGAGTTTGATCATCTTATTCGACTACATCCTTGGAGAAATAAGAAGGCTATAGCAGGAATAAGGAGAGAGCAGAAATCACACGGCAGATACTAAATGGGTTGTACAACTTAGTTGTGCTTCAGCAGAAATTTCCGATTCGGTGAGGCAATGAAACATGACAGACCGTGCGCACCGAGGAGACAGCATAGAGCTCACGTGGCACTGGTGCCACTGGAGTACTCCCAGCCCGGCTGGCTGCTAGAACAAGAAACGTTTTTTTTCACATTTTGCAGTGAGATGAAAGGCATCCAAGCAACTGGCTGAGCTGGCAATTTGTACCATGGTGTCAGTACACGTCTCTTTACTTAACCTCAAATCAGCTTGCAGCCTATCACTTTCTCTCAAGCGGAGACAGCTATTTGCTCACTTTAGGGGTACTTAAATGGATTAAATGCATATCCCAGGTGTCAGAAGCTTTTTAGATCTGCATCCTGACTCTCCTACAGTTCTCCAAAATCCATGTATTTTGGGGAAACCTGGAAATTGGCAAATTGGCAAATTTTCTAACTTTCATGTCAATCCAGGCACGAACTCTGAAGCCACGACTCCTTGGAGTGGGTACATCACCCATCTTAGGCAGGCTAACGTTTCCAAAAGGTTTGTTGCAAGATGATGCTATTTGACCTTTTTTCACCTGACTGGATTAAGAAATTACTCCAGTTGTTGACCAAATTTGAGATTAATTGGTCCCGCTACCTCTTCAGTGCAAAATCTTCTGGTAAGACATCTTCCCAGAGATGCTTATTGTCCCAGGGGCTGGACGTATCTTCAAGAACAGAGGGATATTATTTGGGAAGTTTGACAAATGAGGAGCACCCACAGGTTTTCTTAGGACTTGGCACGCTCCTGATGTACCTTCAAGGTCTGGCTGGCCAACCGTGGCCCCTGTGGCTGTGTCGGTCCGATGCCCAGAGGTGCTCCCACGCTAAGCCCCACTGTACAGCCACAGTGGTAGAAAGTGAACATTGCAAAAATGGGGTCTTTCACATTTTGGAAAAATTGGGTATTTATTTCTTGTGCTTGCTGCATTTTCCCTGGTGAGAAACAGCCCTTTTCTAGTTTGGTCCAAACCTAAGGCTCTCAAGGAGTCTCTAGGTTGCCCTCAGTCCCTCTGCCTGGGTTTTTCTCTGCATGCCCAACCTGCAGCAAAACCAACCTTTTCTCCAGCCACAGCAGGTAGGGTGGACAGTCACATTTCAGTGTCGTAAAGGCCTGACCAAATCGGTGTTCCGGAAACTTTTGGAGTTCTGCTTCGGACATTGGTCGAAATCCCAGGACGACATCTGACCAGAAAGGTAACTCTTCCTTGGGAGTGTTTTTAAAGACCTGCCACCTAAAGGATACAGAGAAAAAGCTGCAAAACTTAGCTGCTATTGCTCTGCCATGTTACGTGTCACGGCAATCTTAGCACAAACCCAGGAACTCAGGAACCTGTTCCCACTCATCAGTGCAGCTCTGCAAAGGTAACAACAACAGGGAAACATTGCTGCCTGCTACTGCAATACCCGCCTTGGCAAACAGGCAGAGGGCTGCCAAAGCCAAGCTTGAGAGTGACACACCTGGGTAAATAAACCAGAGAGAGTTCTTCCAGCTATACTGTATGTACTTCCAACTGTAGAAGTACAAAATCCCCTCACACAGTGTCCCCACCATAGCTGTGGCCACCCTAGCTGGACCTTTGTGTAGGGCCACTTGTACACCTGGTCACATTTTTTTGGGTACCCATAAAGCTACAGAGTGGCCAGCCTCAACACTCGCAAAAGGCAAATTTCTGTGTGCATAATAGGCAGCATGAAACACCCCCAACAACTCCCCTCCCCGCCTATTGCATCCTTATACCTAGTTGCTGAAGCTGGAAGATCCTGCAGTCCCATCCCTATGGAGACCACCCCTGCTGCCAGCAACTGGTAGATGACAGTATGGAAAACATTAGCTATTAAAAGACATTTGGTGCCGGCCAGTCTTGAATCGTTTCTCTGTGCACACCTATGCATTAATTTTGCTTGAAAATACATTTTATCTGAGCAATTGCAATGCAGTTTCTTGGGAATACGGTTATAAGAGCTACTCCATGAAGGGAATACGCCTGAACTCCAGCAAGGAAAACCTCTCTGCCTGCTCCAGCAAACAGCACAAACATACCAAAGGCTGCCCAAGGGGGGGCTGTTCTTACCCAGAGACCAGGTGAATGCCAGCCTCTGATGCCTCAGGTGAGTTGCTGATGGCAAAAAGGAAAGTGAAGGTCTCTTTGAACCACTGCTTCTGCACGTGGATTGGTGTGCCTGCATATAAACAAAAGCAAACATGCAGAGAGGAATAATGCAAAGAAGAGAAGCCAGTGTCAAGGAGACGGGACAGATGGGGAACACAGGTCATTGCACTTTTCTTCCTGAATGTCTGTGCATCGCTGCACACCTGGGCACGCAGCCGTATGAGGTGCCACGGGCACCAGCACGCCGAGTTGCACGCACCTGGGTAGGTGTGAGGGATGAGCATCCCGGCTGCAACATCACTCGTCGTGTTGGGGCTGAACTGGTCTGAAAGGACCGTCACAGAGCAGCTGGGGCAAGTCTCCGTGATGCACAGCGCTGTGGACAGGCCGATGACTCCCGCGCCAACCACTGCGACCTTGGGTGCTGCCATCGCCAGGGTGCAGAGCCAGAGGAGAGGTACCTACCTGCATTTGGAAGTAACATATCCCGTATCACCAATATCCCTGCTGGACACCCTCGTCAGGCTATGAAATACCCACGCAAGATGTAACATAACCCCCCCTGGGGCAGCTAATTGAAGACTAACTGCTGCATACAAGCAAGACTAAGGTGAAGATCAAAAAAATCATCAGCCTTTGATATGAAGACAAATTTTTCTAAAGCATTTCAAGAGTCCCTGCCCTATTCTCAGCACAAGAGCAAAGGGCAAGAGAGCAATCTGTATGTATAGCACTGATGTTCGGGCTGTAGCAACGTGGGGCAAGGTTTTTTCAATAAAACCCAAGGGAGTGAGGCACCCGTCAATTTTCCATTGTGTCAGGGGCAAGAGCTGGAGCTCTGGGGAAACTGGCTTTTAGGCACCATGAGCAAAAAGGTTGTCTGAACATCCAGCAATGAGGTCTGTCACTGCCTGGGCAGCAGAAGGAAATTGCATAGGAAGCAAATTGATTATGCAGAGCAAAGGGTCCAGCGCATTGTGGAAGATGTTTTTCTTAACATGCGTCTTAGTTCCGCTGCTGCGTAGGGCTCTCCCTCCGACCCTGAGGACTGGGTTACCTGCTTAGCTCTGTCCTACAAAACATGAATTTTAGCTATTAAACACAGTGCATAGTTTCACAAGGTACAGCCTGGCTGTTTACACTCCCACATCCAAAAATTGGATCCCACGATGCCTTGGTGGGAGGACTGTGGGAAGAGAAGCTACCTGTACCCTGGGGCATTTTGTGTCCCTAGTGACCTGAGCTCTCCAACCCATCCTTGGCCCCATACCTGCCAGCGTGACCACTGCCCTTGGACAGATTCATGGACATCTGAGTCTGCCACGCTCTCCTGGCAGCACACAGTGGTCCCCAGGAGCCAGCTAGCCTCACTACCCCAAGAGCCTCTGTATTTGCTTCTCTCTGCCTTGCTTTATAACCTGCTTTATATCCCAGAGCAGCTCCACTCTACTCCTCAGTATCTTCAACTGCTGATGGCTACTCCAGGAGGTGCAGCATCTCTGTTTTCCCTTGTCCCGGCCAAGTTTTGCATCTTGGCACCTGCACTGGTGAGTGGCACACAGCTCCTGGTTGACAATCACCTGGCTGCCCGTCCCAGTGAGGTACCAGCCTATCTGTCTGACCACGGCCAGGTAACAGGTTTCACACCGGTGGGGGCACAAAGCACAACTGAACCCTGCAACTCAGTGTGTCTTGCAAACTCCCCAAAGTCAGGAACTAAATGGGCCCAAAGGAGACTGGGCAACATCAGGGGTGATAAATCCTTCAGCAGGTTTGAAACAGGCGAGTCGGGGTGCACCTGCTGGCTCGGGCACTCCTTCGAGGGTTACTGCCAAAAGCTGAGCAGGGATGTAGGGGAGAATCTCCTTTGCCTATGGCTCTTACATTTTCCTGGAGTATCACCAGTATTCACTCTTGGAGTGGATGCTGAGTGATATGGACCTTTGCTCTTGCTCCCTTACAGTCTTGCTTTCTCCTCGAGGAGTTGCTCTTCGTTGACCGTAGAAATCCAGCCTCACTAGCTGCTTTCCGAGAACCTTTTCTAGAAAGCAGTGCCTGCAGTTATAAGGATGGGCTAACTTCCCATCTTCCTGTGGCTTTTGGCATCTTTGATGCAAGTTTAGGCAAGACAGACTGTGTGGGATTATGATAGGTCAGGTTTATTTATGAGATCCTTGCTCATAACCCTTCACACAGCTTCTCACTTACCCCTGAGGTTTTACTACTTAAAATTTGATATCCCTACTATGTAGGAAGGGATAGAGGAGCAGACACTGTTGCCCATCATTGCATTCCTTCTGCATTGCAGCCAAGGGTTGTTACAGCCCCTTTTCTTCCTCTCAGGGAGATGCTTATGTTTCTTCCTGTTTGTTAATTATTACATCTTTCACAAGCTGACTATAAGTGTCCACACAGCAGGGAAAGAGGACACAGTGCAAGGGTAAAGATGAATCCTGATCCAGAACCACTGGCCTGCACTGCTGTCACTCCCAAACCCAATCTGATAAAACGCTGATTTGAATGGGACCTGCACCCCTCAGCTCTACCATTGCCCCAGGCTGCCTCAGCCACCGGCACTGGGAACACCTGCGGAGGGTCAGAGCATGGATGGTGTATGCTTCCTTACCATAATCTCCAGAATATTTTGTACTGGTAATTGTTGTTAAAAACAAAAACAAAAACCACACAGAAAGGAAAAAAAAAAAAGAGTAAAAAGAAATTGGGGGAGTTTTAGTAATGCTGAAATTCCTTTTGTTAGGAAAACTGGCTTTGAGAAAGGTCTTAAACACATTTTTATTAACAAACCTCACTCAGCGCTGGCAGCTGTGGAAATCGCGTGAGGCTGTCAGCATGCCCAGTGAGCCTCCCAGCAGTCCGTGGACGACCACAGTCCTGCTGGAACATATGCGCTGGGTACATTATGCGTCTGCCAGACATGTGCTCTGGTTCGCTGAAGCCCTTGGACCATGGTGAAGATTGAATTTCCTGACTGACCTCCCCCCTGCTGGGGAAGAAAGGGGAGCTGTGGCTTGGCGGAGGTTCAGGTTTCACAAGCCTTCCCAATTCGGATGGGATTTTCGCAGATGAGGCAGTTCGATATCAACTGATCCCAATGTTGCAAAAGCCAGTGAGGGTGGAAAGGGGCTGCTGACGGTGCTGGAGCCTGCGGGAATGGCTCGGAAGGCCGTGACAGGCACCCGTCATACACACCGTTTTTCTAGCACTTTCTGCTGCAATCCAGCAGCGCATCCAGCCTGAACGTGCTAACGTGCCAAAAATCACCGGGGTGCAAAGCGGAGGCTACGTGTGCTTGTACGTGCAAGCACAGCTTGGGCTTTGCAGAGCCACTGACGCCGCCACGAGCGCAAGGCTCACCTGCGGCTCTGCCCCGGCAGGGAGCCCTGCACCTTGCTGGGAGGGCGCAGGAGGAGAAACTATTTTCAGCTGATGTGGCAGGCCAGCTCAATGCCAGCGGGGTGACGCTTCCCACCTCCTCAGACTGGCTTGTGCTGAGGGTTTTTCCAAAAATCGGCATTTAAAAGGCAAATCAGTTGCAGTAACTGTTGGGGAGGGAGGGGAAGGGTGTCAGGTACCCTTTAGCTCTCTGTCCTTTCATGGTGTCAGAAGAATGGCACAGAAGCCAGACAGAGCCACCTGGAGCTGTAATTCTCCAGCAAAGAGGACACTGGCTGCCTGACGTGAGCTTCGTGCCACCCTCCCGCTCCTCCCAGGCCAGAACAAATTATTTTAAAAAATATAGCAATGTTTTGTGATGTGACTCAATCTTCCCACTCCCGCAGCTGAGGAGACAGTATCAGCTTCATGTGATGCAAGGGGGTCCTTATTCTTTCTTGCCTCACATACCTGTGTATCACCACTGAGTGCCACTAACCTTCACCCTTAACATCATTCTAGCAGCGGATAACATAGTCAATATGGACAAATACGCTGCTCCCCAGCACACGTACATGCACACGCACATGCACACACGGAGGAACATGCACACCCACCGCCAGCTGCAGCTGTAGCCTCTTGGCCCACAGACCCCGGGAAACCGGCATCCCTCGGCTGGAAGAGCTGCACGAACACTATTGCTTTGGCATCTTTGTGTTCCAGGCACAGCCCCTCGCCATACCCTTTTCCCCCTATGGCCCAACTCCACATGCGTGCTTCCCCGGCACGCCGGCCGCTCTTCGCTTCTGTCGCAACCCGGCTGACCTACTAAACTGAGCATATTTACATGCCCAGCTGAACAGCTGAAAAAGTCCAGCCGAACTGTTGACCAGAAAATGGATCAACAGGAAATAACCAAAGAAAACCAACACCTGTTACCTTTGAAGTCCTGTGGTTTTTTGGTTTTTGTTTTTAAACTAACTCTCACCACATCTAAGTGCTGAAACATTGGATCGTACCAGGGAGCAAAGGCTCCAGTCTTTCTGGACGAGAAGGGACTCCTCATTCACTGGGGTGGCTGCGCCCACCATCCCCATCCATGGAGCACTTTCTCCCTTCTTTTTTTTGCAGATCACTCTTTTGTGTGTTCACTTCCCCAGTTTACAAGCACCCTCGGTGTTGCTTCCCTTTGCCTGACCCCAGAGAGGGGTTTTGCCAGGCTCTTTGCTAAAGGTAGTTACAGACCCTCATGAAGCTTCATCCATTCCTGGGGTTTTGCTGAGAAGGGAGCCCTGATTTTGTCCTTTTGACTCTGGCCTGGGCCCTTCTCTGTCATTTGGGCTGCTCTGCGAGATGCACATTCGGGACCTGCCACGGGAGGAAGGTGAGGATGCTCTCTCTTCACCGAACGAGGGACACCAGAGGCTCCTTGAGATCCCCTCAGCCTTTCTGCACACACAGCACCACTGCCAGAATCCAGGTGGTTCTGAGCCACCATCACAGGAGACCCTGAGGCTACCGGGGAGGCCTCAGCTCCTCTTTCAGGCAGCTTTTTGCATATGCATGCACGGGAAATACCTCCTAAATTATACCCACCCTATAAGCTACCAGCAATAGTAACCTCCACCAGCAGCACCTACGCGCCAAGCGATGCTCTTGCTTTTCTCCCAAACCGGAGAGGTCTGCGATCCTCATTCCCCGCAGGGCGAGCGCTGTTGAGTCCCTTGCCTCCCTGTGCAGGGAGAAGGTGGAAGCAGGGAGAAGCTGAGGTTTAGCAGGCACCGAAATCCCCCCCTGGCCAAATCCTGCGGCTCACTGCTCACACCACAACCAGCCGTGACAGCCACCGCCCTTATACTGCATGGCCGCCTCTACGTGTGACCTAAATCCCTCCCTGCCTGAGTTTAAGGAGCTGGTGGAAAGTCCCCGGGGCAGTGCGAAATCCCCGCGCAGCCCCTGCGGGCACGCTTCCCAGCCCACGGCAGCAGAAGGGCTCCATCATCTAATGTTTCCCAATTTGGCTAGAAATACGGTCCAAAAAAACCCACAAACCAGAAGTGGGGAGAGAAGGCAATACCTGGTGAGGAGGAGGCCCCCGGTCCTGCCTGGAAGAGTTGCTTTCCCGGGAAGCGCGGGGAAGCGGAGGGGGAGACGATGGAGCACGTTGCCGGGGGTGTAGGGCGCAGGGGCTGCTGGCAGCTCCCCTTTCCCGAGGCTGCTCCCCAAGCACCCGGCTCCGCGTCCCTCTGCTAATGAAGGAGCTGTTTGTGCTCGGGCAAAGGCTGCCTCCAGCGCTGGCACCTCTCCCAGGGGCACTGCTGGAGCTGTGCCCCTCGCCGTCTGCCGATAACTTCTTTTCCTTGATGATTTCCCCAGTGCGCTCCAGAGGAGGCTCAAGGGGCCCCGCTGTCCTGCACAGAATATATTGTCTTTTTCCCTCTCTTACAAGCAATTAATTATATTCTGAAAGTTTCTGAAGCTGCCTTAAGACTGCCGTAGTGCTTGAGCAATCGTGCTAGCAGTTAGGACAGCAGTAACACAGCACGTCTGTGGACCTGGTCATTGCAGTCATCAGAGGCTGATGAAGAACAAGTCCCTGCTAAACCACAAACGCTTAATGAGCACAGCCAGGCAGGACTGTTTGGATTAACCTTTTTCAGCAGAAAAACACAAGTTTGTGAAAAACATACCTGTCTGCAGGATCACTAGAATGAAATTGTATACCGAGGTTTCTTGGCTCCAGGGCATTTGCCACCGGCAGGACATTTTGGCTAATATTTGACAGCCTGAGCATTTGTCCCTGAACAGGCTCAGCAGGACAGTGTTTGCTGACCGCTCCCCTCCAGCCCTGACGAACAGCACTGGCCATAGATCTTCCAAGCAGGTGCCTTTTCTTCGTAGCCACTTAAATACAGACCAGCAGCCATCTGAAGAACATCTCTACATACAGCGACAGCGTGCACAACATGTGACCAGCTGTTCCCACCTCCCAACCCAGCTGTGTTCTTAAATTGTAAAACTAAAGCCATGATATATTACACATGTGTAATCACTGACCTTTTTAGAGAAATACTCTTTATGTTTTTTTCCCTTTAACAGGGAAAGGAACAAAGAATAATTCTGCCAAAGTTATAGTATTGCTTGATTTTTCTGAGCGTTCTGAAAATAGGGTATTGAATAAGACCAGGAAGGAGGCAGAGGAAAGGTTTGCTCGTTTAGAAATGAAATTGTTGATGGACTTGGTGTATTGACTGTCAAATGTACACTATTCTAAGTCATTGCAGGATATCTGCAATAGCTTTGGAGAGGATCCTTTCACATATGGAAATCTCTTTTAAATATAAACTCCCAGTGTGTCTTTTCTTGAGAATGAGACTCAGGAAGTGCAGGCTGGTTTGGGATACCAGGGATACCAACTCTTACAGGAATTTCATTGAGAAACTCTTACTCTTCCATGGGCTAAAGTATTTTGGAAGGTTGAACACACTGTGTTTTGCTAAAGTGCCCATAATAAGGTACACTGTATTTTAGGACGAAGAAAAAGCTTTGTTTGTCCTTTCTATGTAATCTAGCTGCATGACTTCCCACCACAAATGTTTGTTTATCCATGCAAGCATCTATAAGGGGAAACAATTTCAACTCTTTAGTGCTGCCATTGTTTTTCTTACCTCTGCTCTTCCCTAAAATGAACAGCACAATATAGATCCTCTTTGGTCTAACTCCCAGAGCCCTGATTAACCGAAGATCAGCCATTCTGTATTGAGGCCTTCAAGATATGAGAAGTTTTTTGCTGTAGATGTTGGTGCTCTCTTGTGAAAGATGGGAAAAAGCGCAAGGACAGACAAGAAGCTCTGCGTAACAGTCCAGCTACTAAAGACCACCTGGATGTTTGTGTATATATTATTCTGTGTATTGTGCAAAGTATGTCATTCTGAACTAACAAATAATTGGCTAAATATTATTCCAAGTGCAACACCCACCTATTTGTATTTTGAGGACGCTCCTGACAAACTCTGTGATGGTGGCTCTCGTATCCTTTGACTGAGTGCAAGTCATGATTTGGTCACTCAGGAAGAGAGTGCCAGCCTTCTGGCATAGAACTAACACAGCCCAGCCCTGATCGCACTTGGAGCTGTTTCTGAACAAGGACCGGCAGTGGCATCCCAGCACACCACCAACCCAGCTTGAGCAGTGCTTCAGAAGTGTTTCCCTTTACCTTAGCATTCCCTTCGCTTTCTGCACTCTCTTGAATAGAGCAGTAAGGGTAAGCAGAAGTGCCCTCTGTGAACCCAGAAGTGCTGACCTGTTTCTGATCTCATGAATGACACGGATCACTTCTCCGCCACTTCTTTAACCAGTTCAAAGATCAAGTCAAGCATCAGTGTCCATGGCAAATTACCATTTCAGCAAAGAGGTTAAGCTGCTCCTCATTTTGCTGTGTTCCTGTGTTATTTACTTACTTCTGGGGGAATTATCTCAATATGAAGAAGATACCGGCAGTACTGACATTCCTATTGAAAAGCTTTGTGAAAATATTTACTGAGAGATTGCCCATTTATCCCTGGTTCTTTTGATGTGTTCATGATCACCTCAGTCAAAACCGCTTTTCATTCTCATTACCAGCAATGAGACTAGAGAGAATCTTCACAAGGATCATCCCTTGGTGCTGTTTTTTTCTTAGTCCTGTGCGAGTCACTTCATCTCCACAGGGAATATTATGAGGCAACGTTAATAACTAGATGCCTGTGAGCATTCCATGGCTAGATCTTACTCATCTGCAACAAACACCCGAGCAGTATCCAAGCCTGTGTGTTAAACAGGAGTGCAGAGAGAGAAGAGTTAGTCAGTAAATGAGATATTCCCCATTACTTCTGATTATTCATAAACCTAGGTTAGTAATTTCTTTGAAAGAGCTGGTTTTATGTACAAACCTCTCTGCAATCATTTTTATATATCAGTCATACTAAAAGAAGGATACTTCCCCATTTGAGGTATATACTTTTTAGGCTTGATTTTTCTCAGCTTGATCGAACTCAGTGCTCTTGAAATCAGTATATCAGGGATGACTCAATTTTCTCAACTTTAGCAAACAAATATTTGAACCATTCACTATGGCTACTTTCAGGGAGGAACCTAAATCACCTGGCAAGGACATATAAATCCATTAAAACACGAATGATGAAGCCAAGTGATAGGTGTAACTTGATCAGAAAAAGTAAAATTGGTAAAATATGCATAAAAAAATTAGTAATTTGCACTAATTCGAGATTTAAGGGAAGTGGAAAATAAATAGGTTCCTGAGAAGGGCTAAGGGGACAAATCACAAAGAACAAGGCTATAAATTGCTGCAGTTCTAATTTTCTTTGCACTGTCTGCCCACTCCAATTCCTGCATGAGGAAGTTAGTTTTCACATCCACTGAACACCAAGTGGTTACAAGTTATATTCTTTTGTCATTCCTATAAGTGACCTACTCTCTTTTCTGATCAACTCATACCCATTCTACAATACTGCAGCTATTTTTGTCACTGCGGATTGTGTCTGAGGGACTACTGCCCCAGCCAGTTTATACAAATAAAGGCAAAAAAAGAATCATATTCTTCCTGCAACTGAAATGCAAAACATGTCACATTTTTAACATGCATTTTGTCATAGTCACCGCCTAACACATCACCCAAACCTTGGTTTACACCTGCAAACACAAACACGGAAAAGACACGCACAGGATACTTGCCAGCCTAAACCATGGGATCTCCATCCCGAAGCGCCAGCCCAGCTCCTACAAGGCAGCATGTAGCAAAGCCAGAGTTGTGATAGGAGTTCATTAATTTCGTAAAGGTGTAAAGATTAAATAATGTGTGTTTTATTTTATTCTTGCACATAATTGCAGATAATAAATACACATTAAAAAACCGTTAACATATGTTGTATTAAATCCACATATTCTGGGCAAACAAACTCCTTCCTATGAGTACATACTTCCCCCATATTACCAAAATGCACACTCCACCTGGTACAGAATCTCGTACAAAATTATTAGGTCACCAGTACATAGATATGCTTTAATCTTTCTTCAAGAGAGATGTAACAATGCAGATATTGCTTGACTGTTCTTCTGTCAACACTTTTTTTTTTTTTTTTTTTTAATCTTTGAGTTTAATTTCTCCCCTGTAAACCTGTTCTGGGATTCAGACAAGCACCTTTAAGATGTTTCTAAAGGGCACAGGATGAACCCAGACCCTCCTTTTCACAGCCACAAATACCTTTCTGGCATCATGCCTCCATGGCGCAAGTGACCTCACCTTTTTATAAACCCTTGTGAAAGGCACTCACAGGCTTTGCATGCTGCTGAGCCCAATGCTGCAGAGGCTTCCTAAGTGACTGCACCTAAGGAGTTGGTAAAAATAAGCTGTGAAAGATACAGGAGAATGCCAGTGAGTCTTCCGCTCCATCCCAGAGCTGGGATGTCAGACCATCTTCTGTTTCCACAGAGCCATTACACAAAAGCCCTCAGCCTTCAGGCAGAATTCAGCCCCTTGTTCAGACATTCAGGGTACCACCCAAAGCATCTGACGGACTGCACATAGTTTGCATAGTTATTTTTTTTTCTACACAGTTGTTTAAACTACAGAAATTTGCACAAAGAAATTGGAGTGAATTGTTAAAGTAGAAAATACATCTTTTCACATACTTTTAAAATACAGATTCAAAATATCAAACAGATTTTACTTACTATTTTTCCTTAGTTATCATTAAACTAATGATAATTGCTCTCATTCCTATATTCAACCCAGAAAGTATGTCCTTAACAAACTGCAAGATTGTCTAATAAAATATGATATCAAATTTAGGACAAAAACATTTGTCATGGTGCAATAGTGACCAGCAATTAAGACAGATAAGAACTCTAATCCACTATCTCATAAAACCATTATGTAACTCCAGAGACGTTGATCAGCACAATAAATTTGTGCTAAGATAGAGATGACAAATACAACCATAAAAGAACTTAAGGACTCAGATAAGAAACTATGAAAAGGAATTCTTTTTATGAGCGATGAGAGGAAAACATGCCCCACAGGAACAGAAGCATTTGTTCTCAAACTCAGTGCTCTCTTGTGACAGGATTTAGATATTCTATGAATATTTAAGAGAAAGAAATAACCCACCCTGTTTACGCTACCTTTATAATTTATGACTAGTGTTAAACATATTTTTGTCCATATGGAAAAAACAAGCAAACAGAAATGCTAGAAACATATAGACACATGCTATTCCCTTTTTTACAGTAATATGCTTCCTCAGGTTAAAGAATAGGATACCCCAAGGCATCCTCTAAGCTATTCATGCATAAAATCACAAAAGGTGTACCTGTAGATCAATAAACTTTTTATTTCCGGGAAAAAAAGTAACATTAGTTCAGGGAAATGCAGGTCTCATTTGAATCAAAGACCAAATACCAACGGACATCAGTGACAGGAGGAACTGGCTTTCGGGGTTAAAAGCCATCAAGCTACACTGTGGTTTAGAATCATCATTAAATTCTAGCCTGTAAGCATTGCTCAGTATCACTGTGCATTTAAGTTTTTGCTTTTTTCTTTTTTTCTTTTCTTTACCTTATGTATACAGATTACAGATGACCAGCTCCTGAATCCCTCAAGTCAAAGGAACACAGAACATGCATTGACTGTTCTTAGCAGGGTAACCCTCAAATCAGTTATTCGGCAGGTAAGGAAGTAGAAAAATTAATTTTAATTGTTCTTTAGTACCTTGTTAGAAATAGATTACTGTCTCCAGCACTCAAGACTAAGGAGTTTAAGATAGGACCTTGTACTAACAAAAGAAGGAGCATCAGTGTGAAAGAACCCCAAAATAATGTAATTACTTGGAGCTCGGAGCGGGGGAGGGTGGTTGTTAATGTCAGACAGCACCAGTTTAATTCCTTATTAGGTGTACTGCATGACATTTTGTTTTTTTAGCATGATTGAACCCTTGTTTAAGGCAGGGCATGCAGAGTTTCGCAACAGATCTTGCAGATGAGAGTTCTGCTCTGGGAAGTGAAGGGGGATCTCAAAGCAGTGGAAGAATACCAGGTCGGCTCTTCAGCAAAATAAAAAACCACATCATATGAGTAATCCTATCTTCAGTTATCAAAGTATGTATTCAAGTCATTATCTGAATAAGGATGTGATTGCTCATGCAAGTAAGGTTAAGCACATGCTTTTGCGGAAGTAATATATCTGAACAGAAGCCATAACATCCTATGCAGTTCTCTTTGGAGGTTTTCTCTGCAAATACTGGAACACCCACAGAATTGAAGGGAGCATAGAGATTCCTTTCTGCTTTCCATGTAATCATTATACAGACACTCCCAACTTAAACTTACTGGTTTTTGCTTGCTTCAAAGCATGTTAGTCCTCATATAGGATATGATTTTGTCCTAATATCAGGACCAACAATGCTATTTGACACTCTAGAACACTACGGTGAAGAAAAAAATCTTTTATAAGGGGATATAAACCATTATTCTGGTTTCAGAAGTCATTGAAACTAATAAGACTGTGCAGATGGAATTGAAAAATGTGACCATTAAGCTCTACAGCATATAGAATATTTATCTACAGTAATACAGATGTCTTTTTAGGGGGTACATGTCAAAGAAGTAAACAAGGAAGACTTGTTTTGATGAGATCGCACCAGCTAGCATGAGAGTATGTGCCTAAGATGAGAAAAATTCTGATTTCAAACCAGGGCTGACAGGGTTTACACAGCCCAGGCAAGAGAAGGCTGTCTGAACCTCGACACACAGAATGTTCCTGTACTGCTCCCCTCAAACCAAAGGTGGCCAAGCGAAGAGGATACAGATCCTCAGGCAAGGAAGAACCCCCCAGGTCTGGAGATAGACTAGAAAATGGGAGGTGGGACAGAAAGCCATAAAAGTAGCAGCCAGAATGATGCATTCCTATCTACCAGTTCTCTGTGGTCCACAGTCATAAGGCAGAAATCACTGCACCAGCAAGTAAGTGTTGATGCACACATGAGGTGACACTTTGACTAAAACTACTAGAGTAACTGGTAACTCTTCTATTGATGATCAGTGTCCTCCAGCTACCATTTTTTAAATTATATTTTTCTAACTGATTTTGTGTGGTATAAAGAAAAAATGAGCTACAGACAGCTGATGTATGAGAAAAATGGTGTGTAGATACCATGCCTACTAACCATTTGTTAATAACTAAGTCCACCTCTGTGCAGAGAGCCTGAATAAGGCCCATATGCCATTTATTCTTTTCCACTGAGGACTGAGAAGGCCTTGATGGAGGCATTTGGCAAAGTTGCTGGTGTAGCTCTTAAAGGTTATGAACAATCTGATGCTAGATCTGAGCTGAAATAAGTGAGAAGAGGAGAACTGAAATAACGGTCTGGAATGTATATGACTTTCAAAGGCATCAGGCATTTTAGTTTTACCTAAACTAAAAAGAACTTACTAAGACAGCAGTAGATCCAGTGAACATTTTTTCTAAACCAGTAATAAAAATACATTTGCCATTCAACAGAATGAATATACAAACTATTTGCACATTTTGCAAACTTAGTATTATTTTTTCAGTCGGAAGCTGTTCCACAGAATACTTTCCTTTGTTAGCAATGGCACCTTTTCTAGTAGAAAACTTGAAAAAAAAAAGAATAAATTAGTTTAAGTTTAAAATTATTGATATGACTTGATGCAATGTTAAGGCTTCTCTCTTGAATTATAACTCTCCCAGTGTACCACGTTTTGAAGTCCCAAGCCTATAACCGTCAGCTGCAACAGGACGAGAGCAGACAGGGCACTTTGCAGTGGGTTTACAAATCTAACTGCAGAAAATGTGAAGCAAAGAATTGGCATATTTTTTACATATGTGCAATCAAGTAAGTTCCAACACCTAGACTAATCATTCCAACTGGTCACAGTAAGTCAGACAGGTTTTCTAAAGTCTGGGTAAGTTTGACAAGGGCTTTAGAAATCTAATCAAATTTTCTGCAGTACCTCAGTCATGTGGAAAAGGTTTTATATACTTGCTCTATTGAAAAGGCAAGACTGGATACAAAGTAAAAGGCACAGTTATTATAGAACAGTCACATTTCTTGAATAAAAAGATCTTATAAATTAGATAATGATTAAAATTGGCAACAACCATTTTGCTGTTGCTTTATTTCTCAGTGCTGACTGCTTCTTGACCAAACATCTCTATCTTTTCTAATGCTGCACCACTGTGTGCTGGAGTCTTTCCTGAACAGCTTTTCTTGTTTCTTCCAATTTCTGTAGCTTCCACCAAAGTATTAGTCAATGGTTTTCCCAGTGTTTCTGGAAGCATTATTGTTAATATTCCACTCAGAAGAGCCATGATTCCAACAAGCAACTAGAAGAAATAAACAGTAGCTGTAAATGTAGAAATGTCTTTCAAGTTATGCATATCTTTGATCTTGCTTGAGAGTACATTTAAAATAAAGCACAAGGAACTGTAATGTAAAGCAAAGATTGTAAGTCTTAAATGTTGACTGTATAAAAGCTCTGCCTTTTTTTGTTGCATAAATGAAAGATTATGCAGCAGAATTAATGAAGAGCAACTCAAGTGTTTTGTTCACAAAGGATCAATACAGTGCAAGGAGGAATAACTCTGTCTGAGAAAACAATACATATATCTTCATTTGGTATTTCTACTATCAGGTATGTAATTAAGAACTGATTCTAGGATTGCATACATTTATTTTTACATGCATGTTCATAGTGCTACAATTTCCCTGCCACCTGTAATCTCAATTTGCACTCCAGCTCCTGAACCTATTCCCCCTGTACCTGTGTTCCTGTTCCTCCTGCACACAGCCATGTCAGAATTTCTCAGCATGGCTCATCGGCCTGGAGCCACAAAAGTGCACATCCCTGCTCAAGAGAGCTCTTGAGCAGATAATGAGCTAGCTCTCAACAGGAATACTTTGCCAAACTGAGTTTCAAAGAGCTGTTAGGGGTGCAGGCATCTACTGACATTTGCACTGGGATTGCGTCCTGGATTTGTCCATGGTGCACACAGTTCTGTAACAACAGCTACGTTAGCGTGTGTGGTGCAAGGATCAGGATCATGTGGGGTAGATAGAGAAGCACACACATGCTCCAGGAGTATCTTTTCTTTCCCTTAATTTCTGTGTCTTGTTCAATGAGAACAATTCAGTTTCCTCCTTTGAAGTACAAAACAGCATTAAAACCCTGACTTTCTTCCAACACCAGGTTATAAATGACCCAAATCTCTCTTGATAGAAATGCTTCCACACAGTACATCATGCCTGGCCTCAGTGTTTTTCCATTTTATGACTGTGCACTTTGATACTGTATTATCCTTATCTTGCTCTATACTGCTTCTCAGGTCTGTCCTGCTTGTTTAATACTTTCTTTCCAAGTGTGAGAGAGAACATTTGGAATTATTATGCCTGTGCCTCTCACGCAGAGATTGAGACAAGAACTGGCCAGCTACCATCTGCAGCTAAACCAGACTTTCTCTTCAAGTCAGAAAGGTGCTTTAAAATTGGAATTCTCCATTGTAACCTTGAACAGTGCTATTTTCATGCACATGCACCGTGCTGCTTTTGCTTCCGCTCCCCTCTGAAACAAGAGGACAGTTTGTCCTAAGCACTCTTTTGAGAATCAGAATTCACACTGTTGCATACACTCCTTTTTGCACTTGCATTAGAGGCTGACAAAATAAAAAATTAAGCAAAATACTGTTGAATAGTACAAACTACAGTGAAAATGAAATAATCATGCTCTTACCATGAAAAATTTTAAAAAAATCCTAGCAGTAATAGGACCAGACGAAATGGCACTGAGTGACAAACTGAGGGAAATCCTTGTAGACATATATATGTGGCAGGAGTGATATTTAAAAATCTATTCCAAAATATGAAAGTCTCACCTCTGACTGTCAAGACTCTTCTCCACTAGTAAAATATGATTTTCTGCCATGGCAAGACAGGATGAATTGACACATGGCAGCTATTTCACAGTAACCTCTCTTATGCACATCCTTTAGGCTGTCATAAGTTTGTATTTGAGGATATTGAGGGCTGTAAAGGTTATTGAAGTTTATGGACACCCATACAGTTGGAGTTTATGAGAACAGGGTCATTACTGACACCCAACAGAACAAGGTTAAAGCAACACTGTGTGCTTTGAGTATGAGTGTCTTCTCTGTTTCAGTTAGTCTTTTAGACACTTTGTATTCTTCTCATGTTTTCCTTCCCCATGAACCTACCTCCTATTCCCCTGCAAACTCTCACTATTCTGTAAGCGTACACACCACCATCTTTCCTGTCTTTTCATCTCAGCTCTCTTAGCTCTATTCCGCAACGTTAGTTTTCTTTTTTACAATGTGAAAGCTGCTGCATGCCAACTAATTCAGTGTGTTTCCTTTCTCCCTGACCCTACAAAGCATTTTCCAATATCTCCTACGAAAGACAGAATGTGAAACAATTAAGTCACAGTATATTAATGAAAGGACTTCTCAAATGTCATCTACCTCTTCAGGGGCGGTAACCACACTTATAAATGAAGTTACTCACGTTTAGTCAAAGCAAGCCCTTTGCAGTCTTACCTTAGCATGCTTCTTCATGAGGCATCTGACATAATTTAGGCCTTTGCTTGCTCATAACAAATGTGTGCATTTTGTATTTATGTACTATTTTACATATATAATTCAGCATCAGAAAATGTTCTTCTGATATAGTCAATGAATTAAATGCTTATGGATTAAAGTGTACTATGGTACAAAGTATTTAAGTATGTTTAATCTCCACTGAAGTTAACTTCACAGGAGTACCAGCTTAAATTCATTGCTTTTTCAGCGTCTTAATTTGAAATCTGACTTTCTGCTTAGTCAAACTCTCAAAGTATTCCCAACACTTCAGTACAGCCAGCAGCTTCTAACAGCTACCGTAAAAAACTTCAAAAAAAGATTTACCACTATTTTTCATATGTCCTCCTCCCTACCTGGAGTAACAATATTAATTTCACAGTGGTCTAAGATCAGGACTTAATATATTTAGTCTAGAACAAGAGATAATTTGAATTAAATATCCCTACAAAATAATACTTTTACCTCTGAGAACAAATGATTATTCTGGTCTGCTATTTATATTTATACTCACATCTGATGGCTCTGAACCAATCTAAAATGTGATCTTATTTACAAAATTCCTACTTCAACAAAAAAAGGTTAAATTCTGTCCTGAAAATCCACCAGTATTAGACATAGGATTTGCATTAACTTTACTGGCCTCAGTGGAGGTTTTTTTAAATTTATAATTTATGGTTTATCAGAGAGAAAAATCAAGTCTGTTAAAGGGCTACCAGAACATAATTCTTAACAGCTGAGAAACAGAAATAGGTTATACAAGGAACAGTTGCTTTACTGTAAGTTTTCTAGAAAGTTGTCACATGAAAAACATACTTGGCAAGTTATTCAAGATTTACAGGCATTCAAATGAGATGCTTGCATTGCTCACAGGTGGCATAACTGTACATGAGGCAGACTGTCAAACGAATAGCAGTAGTAACTTCTTGACAATGTATGGTGTATACAATAGATGAACATGATGTATATCAGCTTACTTACAAATGTAATCCATTTCATTTCATTTCCATTCCAAAACACTTAGATGACCTGAGACTTGGCACGCTATGCTCCAACTCAAGACAAGCCTATTTAATAATCTGACAAACATTTTTATAATAGGAGCTAATAAGGAAAACTTGTTCACTGTGTAGTACTACACAACTCTACAAATACTCTGGATACTTTTTGTACACTGAGAGTTGTTCATAGCTGAAATAATTCCTCTGTTTATACTGTCATTTGCACTGCTCTCCAGCATGTTTGAGCATTCCCCATCTGTGGTTTAACTGCAGCACTTCTGCACAGATAAAGCTTATCTCAGCCAGTAGAGGCAAAACACTGACAAGAGAAAAAGAGTGTTCTCCCATGACCACTCTGTTGTGCAAATGTTTCTTCATCTTTTCTGGGATGATATCTTGGTTTGTATGGGGCCATTATTAAGAAAGAAAACATTTTTTAGGAGCTTGAGGGAATAAATTAATTTGTGGTCTCCTTCATCCTCTTAATCTTCATCCAAAACAACTGAAAGTAATTCATTTAAACAATGAAACGGCTTCCCAAGAATTCTCTGAAACCAATCTCTAGCATCTATAATTGAAGATTTTACAGTTGCAAAATCAAAAGGACATGATGCCACTTTTTCAGGGAATTCCAATGCGGTAGACAAAATTAGAGTAAGAATCCAGGTTAAAGACACATCCCGTCACATTTTCACCTTCTGACCTGTATAATCTACATATAATATTGGTGTGCCAGTCACAGTGAACCCTTAGGGGTTTTTGAAAGAACTCAAACTATTTTTAAATCATTAATAAACTCTTCTCTACTTAAAGCTTTAATATAAACTTTGGAATTCCTTCTGTTTTTACATATATGGGCATAAGCTATCTTTCAAGAGAAAAAAGGGATTGAATAGCTGCAGGATTTCTAAGCAGCAAATGCTTCATAACAGAAGTGTAATGAAGAAATGTGATTCATCTGCGAGCAGAAAATACATAAAATATTTTGTCCAAAATGGATCTGAAGCTCCATAATGCAGACACAATGCCCAAAGTCCATGAAGGAATGGTCCCACCTCTGTTTTCCTGGGGCAACTGGTGGTAGAAGACAAAACCTAATGGTAGCACGACCTGGATATACCTACAAGTAGGATGTGCTTAATGAATTCAAGGTTCTGTTGCTTGTCAAAGTCACCATGAACCTCATCAATATACCATTTGCTTCTCTTTTTCCACCTTATGAATTGTTTTGTTCAGTTCTTGTAAATGAAAAACACAAAAAGGGAGCTTTGGGACAGCTGTGAAGACCAAGTATAGTAAGCCTAAGACATTCTTGATCTTTTGGAAGGCTATTCCAAAGATGCAATGTCCCAGGGAAGCCATGGAAAAGATTAAGGAATAATATAAGAAAAAACAGCCACCCATGGAGAATTCCAAGAATGGAAGGACTACACCTTTGAAAAAGGGTAAGAATAAATCAGGAGCATGGACAAGAACTTCTAGGCCTGCAGAATAAAGAAGTATGGACTAAGAGACTTCCTAAATGTTACATGGCAGATGAAGTATATTTTTATGGAAAATATTTTTATCAATTTTATACTAGGATTCAGGGCATAAGTATTTTTACATCTTCCATCATAAAAACATTTCAGGAGATTTCAGTGACTCAAAGTCTCCCTTTTGCTTTAGCTTCATACTTTTAACAATATGAAGTTACTAATCTTCGAGACTTAAAATTTAGAACAAGAATGGTTCACTCAATTTCCTTTTCAAAATAAAAGTTCAGCTTTTGGTTCCTGAGAAAACAAGTGACACATATGCCTTTTCAAAACCAGAAACATTCACCACTGAAATAAATACTTACAAGTGGCATGAAAATCCAAACACTTCTCAGATATACACAGAAAGGAGCAACCACACTACCTACACGGCACATCATGCTTCCACTTCCAACAGCAAGTGACCTACACATAAAACAAAGACTTTGATAGGAATTCTGGCAGATAAAGGAAACAATTAGAAATGCACAGACACTTAAAACATCAGTAGGATACATGTCTTTAAACAATTATACTAGGAAGCTATTGCTACACCAATGTAAATTTATATTGTAGTGAAATTCAGCTGCTTCTATAATTAAGGTTAAAAATATAATCCTTCAGCATAGACCACAGGATGAACAACCAGGACTTTTAAGAAAGGCATAAATAATGCTTAAGAAAGTATTGAGTATTCTTCTAGTTCCCCGGTGAAACCAATCAACGCACATGGAATGAAAAATAAACACAAATTTATGGTACAGCCAAACACTAGGCAACTCTGAAGCAGCTGAGGCACTTATCCCATCCCAAGTCTTTCAGACTACCACCACTGATGCCAAGAGCTGCTGGATCTGGCACAGAAGCATAACAAAAGAAAGGAAATAACAGCAAAGTAATGAAAAATACATAACTGGCAAAAGTTCTTACCTTACAATTGTTGGGTACAGTTCTGCTGTGTAGAGATATATGAGGCCAAATGCCACACCTATTGAAAATTTTCCAGCCATATTTGCTAAGATAATTAATATATTGAAATCCTATTGAAAGAGAGCACAGAAAAATAAATACCAGAAAATAACACTGTTCCAAACTTGATTTACATCTTTCAAAAGTTGTGACCCTTCTTTAAACAATAAGCAATACTTATTGCTTGCTTTTTTAAAAATCGGTCTCAATAAGCAACTAGTGTCCATTTCACTTTTTACCAGTCCTGGTTCACTGAAGCCCTGGGAACATTTTACACGTGACTCCAGAAATGATAGTGAATCCTGTATTGAAAATACAGAAATCTATCTTAGACTGGCAGCTGCAATTTAAAAACAGCCTTTAAGCAACTATATGATTTAGAAAGAGCAGCTGCATCTACAGACTTAAGAGCCGTTAAAATCAATTTCTACTACAGGAACACTTTCAACAATATGTGACTAACCTGAGGTAGGAACATAATTAAAACACAGATCAGTGCACTTAAAATAAGGAATGGAATGAGTGTGTTTCTCCTTCCCAGTTTGTCCATCCCAATGCAAGCAATGATATAGCAAGGCAACTCCACAGCACCTGTCAGTATGAAATTATTTCGTTTTAAGTCATGATTACACATATTCATGTTATAACTCTAACTTCCCCTTTATGAGGATTAATTTAATCTAAGGGGTAATAAATAAGTGAAATCCAGAGACAACCAGTGTGTCAGGCTAGTTCATTTGGTAACAGAAATAGCAACAGAAGGCAGAAAACACAGTCTAAAATACGGTCGTGGGGGATGGAGAAGGACAAAGGAAGTGGGTTTCACAGCGCAGAGCAGCTCTGTTCTCTTTGGGGTGGAAAATTACAGAAAGCAGCAAGGCCACGGTTCTGCTTTTATGACACTGGGACTTGTGACTGAAAGCTCTCCATTTGTGGCTCTTCTGCTTCAGGTATTTCCACATCAACAGCTTAAGCATGCCCACAAGGAATATTGCTAGTGTCCCACGGACACACCTCTTGGGATTTGCCAGCTTCCACTTGGGCACAGAACTGAAGCCACGGGCACCTCCCCCAGCTTCAGCCCCAAATCACCCCAATGTAAAAGGCAAGCAAGGTCTCTCCAGGTCTGGTTTTCTGGGTCAGCTCCACAAATACAGAGAGTGCGGTTCCAGCTTTCTCTCTTCTCCATTAAAAAGAGGGCAGCTGCTTACAATATCCCACTCTTATTTAGATCTTCTCTTCTTAATGTCTCTTTCCAGAGAAAAACTTCAGCAGCTCTGAAGGAACTGGCATTTGACTAGGACTGTTCACAAACCCTCTGTAAACATGATTTGCCCCTAGACAAACTATATGGAGCCTAAGCCAGTTCAGACATGTTTTTATCCAACTTGCTCATGAAGAATGCTACTATATCCAATGTAAAATCAAGGAAGAACATAAGATACAAGCCCTGCACAAGTATGCTGCATTCCTTTACTAATCACGTATAGTATGTCAATACACTTATAATATTGGGAAACAATCTTTTGGGCTTGTGTAGGTAAAAGCAGGTTGCAATTATTCAGTGTTAGTCTGCTAAAATATTTTTGGAAGGGATGTATATGGTGATTTACACACTCTACTCCACTCTTAACAGCTTAATTATCTGTGCAACACTAGCAGCCACTCTTCAATGCATCAGTCTACCAATAAGCTATAGTATGCAACAACACAAACAGAATTCACAAGAGCCCCAGTCCTTCTGTGTGCTTGTGTACATGAACAGTCATATTCACTTTACTGAGAGTAATCAGTTGCATAAAGCAAACCACATGATTTAATTCTTTGCTGGCACAGAGCTGTGTGCCTGATCTAGGGTCTTCTGAAGTCAATGGAATATTTCCACTGATCTTAATAAACTTTGGATCAGGCCTTGAATGCACTGAGCTGCTTTTATAAACAACTTACATACCAGAGGAAGATTACAATCAGACTGACAAAATTAAAAGAATACTACAACTAAATTAAAAATAAACTTTTGAGAAAACTAAAATTACTCTTGCTTTTGAGAATTATGAATCCATTTTCTACACAGACAGACTCAATATATCATGACTCTAAGTGATTAAAGGAATATTTTTTTTCCTCTCGTTTTCCTAGTTTGTGCCTTTAACAGAGCTGTGTGAATTTTGTGTTGTTGGTCTGCTTCCCTTGGTGTTTATGTGGATCTGCTACATGCTTGCAGGGCAAAAAGGAGACAAGCAGAATATGGTTTTACAATCACAAAGACAGAGAAGAATTTTGTACACCAACAAATTTTAAATTATCTTTTTTTTTTCCCAAAACAGTGAGATTTGGAGTGAACAATACTCCTCCTGTGTTAGTCAACTTTATGAAGAGTTAGCAAGAAACTTTTTGAACAAGGTTTATAATTGAATGAACAAAGTTAAAAAATCTGCTGTCAAATCTATAGACATTTCTAAATGTTATGTTCTAGTTCTGTCACAAACAGAATAAGGTACAAAAATATTTACCTATGAGAAAGAGATTTAAATATTCATTGCCTCCTAGACTGACAGAACTGAGGGAGAAGACGTAGTACCCCAAACTTCCAGTGAACCAGATCAGCCAGACTGTGATGGTCCTTCTTGCAATGTGCCAGTTACAAAACAGGTCTAAGATGTTGTGCTTCTTTGTTGAGGATGTGTCATTGTCACCCGTTCTGACCAGATCATCTTGTTGGACTGAGCACAGTTCAGAAACTTTGCAAGGAGTGCTTACTTTATTCCATCTTGCCATTATATTAATTACTTTTTGTGCATCTTCGTATCTTCCCTCTGACAGGAGCCAAAGAGGTGTTTCTGGGAGCATCCAGCAGCACAAGACAAAGGGAAGAGTTGCTATGGAGAGAAATATCTGATAGACCCACCAGGTCCGAACCAAATATCCCACGAGTGCCACAACCATAATTCCCACAGCAAAAAAAGCATGGACATGCATAGAAGCCCAGGTTCGTGCTTTTATGCCAACAAATTCAGTCACATAAACAAAAGCCACAACCAGATAGCCACTTGAAACCTGGGAGGATGGGAGAGAGAGAAAAAAAAAAGAGTGAGGTTTGTATCTACTCTCCTTGTGCAACAGCGGTAAAAACAAACAGCCAACAGTGTTCCACATTTGCGTATGCTTAATTGCCAATGCACTGGCATGTCCCACACTGACAGAAAAAAACGCAACCCTGAAAACAAATCAGCTGGAGAAAAAGTGCACTCAAAACCTTCAGACTGCCCAGACACTGTATTTAAAAATGTTAAGTGATTTTGGATGCTTCTCTGTAGTGGAGGACAGCCAGCGACAGACACCTGAAAAAGAGCCTAATTTGCTGATGTCACTAAGCCCTTCACCTCCAAAAATCAGGTCTCTTAATGACATCACAAACCGGACACTTGGGAAAACGAGGTCCCCTGAAGTAATTGCCACTTTGAAAATCTTGACCTCAGCTTTTAAGTAGACTATTAATAATCTGTATGTCAGGGAATGGCAAATTTACTGAGAATTACCTTCCACGCCCTTGTAAATTATCTCATTAAATCAAATTTTTACAATGTTTGAAGAGGATCTCATATATATGGTTATAGGTCCTCATATATTATCTAGCCAATGCAATTACTGGCATGTTCTGCATTATAGTATTTCTTCATTTAATATATACATATATATATAAGTGAATATATATATATTTCAATTTCTCTAGCAACAGTCAAACTCTTGGTATCTCAAAACATTTCAAAACACAGCTAGAAAATCTAGACTAGAAAATATTCCAGTATATTGCTTTGATTAAACTATTTTCTGGTTAAAAACCAGAACATTCCAGTTAATAATCTCTGATTCTGAACCCACTGAACCTGATAGGAAAGCTGCGCTGATCTCAGTGGCACAGGACTAGAGCTTTAGACCTCCATCTCACAAATCAGTCCCAGTGGGAAGTTAAAACCTACAGCATTGGTCTGGTCAGAGTTTTTCACTTTTCTAAATTGCCACAGCCCCTAGCATCAACAGCCAAGGGAGTCAGTAGAGGGACTCCTATTGATCTCACTGTTCAAGGCTGAAATGCCCATGCAGTTTTTCCTGCTAGGAAACCCTTCTGAGCTCTAATCAGGCAAAAGAAGCTCCAGATGCAAGGTCCTGTCTTGACTAATGTACTGTCAGCAGGAATAAAATCAATTATGTGATTATTTTCAAATTTCTAACCTACTTTAAATAAATTACATTATTTTTCTTGTGATAGCATTCTAATTTCTTTATGCATTATATAGCGAAAGACTACAAATATTATACTTTTGGATGTAAAATAGTAATTTAAAATTGGTTACTATGTATAAATATTGAATATATATCAGATATATATCATACATATATATAAAAGTATGTGTATAGATATGCATAAACACATACACTGGAATACCCTTAAGTACAGTATAAACATCTAGGTGTTAAACATGTGTACCTATGTAATTAGTATTCCAGATGTAGCTTAAAAGACCAAAGAGATGCATGGAAGAGAAAATGTGCATCTCTCCTCCATCACACAAAATGGTAGAGATAAAAATCATACTTATAGGTTTTTTATTTTAAGAAAAATATACTCCATTTTTAACAATAAAGAGAAATGCCATGACAGCTGCAATGCAGAATGCAGGGTTTGCTGCTTACACTTGGTATTTAATTACCAGTCCAGCAGAGGTTGGGATGGAGGAAGTACCAAACACTGCTTCATACAGACGCTTTCTATTAATTCAAAGAGGAAAAGTGCTGTGGTCCAAGAACATTCAGACTCTCCCTGCTCTGCTGAAATAAGTGCAACAGAGGGGGCTTTAGAATAATGAAGTAGGGGAGGAAATAATAACAAAAGGGAGGTTTTCCTCAGAAGGGGTAGGAAATAACACATAAAAAGAGCCAGGGTGAACATCCTTTCTTACCATAGCAAGGAGAGAGCGCACAATCACGAAACTGTAGTAGTCAAACGTGAAGGCCACTGCGATGCCAAATACAAACTGACCAGCACTTGTGAACCATATAACACGCTGTCTTCCCAGTCTGCAAATCACAGTAGTAATAAAATTATGAATAACCACAAACATTCTACTAAAATACACCTGCAACTCCAGAAAGCCTATCTGGAAGTGAGTCTGAAAATACGGTACTTGATACTTTCACTCACCACAGAAACTCTGGTTTAGTTACCTGCAGTAATTTTTCAGTAATTCCAACTTCCAAGAAAAAGGAAGCTCCTATGGACAGAACTTCCATTCCACAACTCTTGGCTGGAAGCAATGTGCAGAAGTGGGCATTACATATGCTCACCTCCAGTTTCAAGTTTAACTTCTACCTAACTAATCTGGAAATTTACTCTGTCTTATTTATGAGGACAGTAGGTAAGACTCGCTTTTTCAGATATTTTATATTAAGTAATGTCTAGTTAATAATTTCCAACAAAAGTTAGCTGTGATAATACATGCCATCTCTTGCCAAAGTAACAACCAATTTGGATAGTAATCTATCTTCCCTAATATTCTCTTGGACTCTTATCATCTACTCCACTCCGAACAGCTTTTCACAGATGTGGACATTACATTTAGACTGAGAGTCTGAGGACTTCAGGGGTGTGGGCTCCTTTGTTGATTTTTCTCTATGAGTATTTGGTAGTACATTAAAACAACTCCTATTTTTCTCCAACATTGACCTGGAGTCATGCACATTTGGTCTCTGATCCCTGCCAGAAGAGATCCCAGTGAGTCTTAGCTGTCAGAGCTCTTCTGTTGGGAAATCTGTTAATTGGGAATGGGAGGAACCCACAAACTTATTTCCCACCAGCCAGGATGTGTCAGAAAATAATAATTTTCAGCTGTAAAATCTACAGCTGTAAATCTGCAACTCAGAATGTGTGTATTATCTTAACTGGCTGTCCATAGCTTGAATTAATGGAAATGAGAACAATATGATGGTAACATTATAAATGACATCTGAGTATTAATTAATAAAGCTATGAACGATTTAAAGGGACGCAGAACAAATGTTGGCATTATATTCTGGTTTTGTATTAAATATGGTTTTACAAAGCCTTGGATCGGGAGGCAGGATTGATTCCATGTGTTCTAAAAGCCAAACTGAAAAAAGATCATCTTTACTTCTGCATTCCCATGTTGTAACTGTCACATAGTAGCGTTGTGCTAATGAAGGAAAATCAAAAAAGAACAGGCCTGGTCTCCTTTTTCTGCTTATACTGTTAGCTGTGGGATAAAACGTCACCCTCCACCTAACCGAGCTGTTAGTTAACATGCTCCTTTATAGAAAGAGATAAATAACACTAAACCAGCCTTCAAAGAAAAACACAGGTACATAAACTGCCCAAGACAAAACCAAGCACAACGTAGCTTAGGCGTTTGACTCTCATATGGATAGAGGGGCACAGCTGGGCATTCTTCCGAGGTAGGAATACGTGTGTTTGTGTTGAGAGAGAACCCCAAGAGAAGCAGGAGGATAGAGGTGTACATCCTGGATCTCACTATTGCTCCTGAGTGCAGCTCTGCTGCTGGATGTCCGTGCGTGACCTGGGGTGACATCCAGGGAGGGAGCATCAGAGGGGAGCGGGCTGAGGGACAGCCTTGGCACTGTGAGCAAGGGGCTGTCGGGCTCAGTCCCTCCACGACTGACTCTCCTTGCCCTCAAACAGAGCTTCGTACGTGCTGGTAAACGAGTGAAACCACAGCACAGCTCACTGACAAGCATTTTTCCTCCTATCTGGACTAACCTTCAACAGACTGAAGTTCAAGCTAAGCATTCAGGGAAAAACTACAATTGGACAGCAAGGAAAAATAGTGTATGCATGTTTATTTTAAGAACGTGGGGCCTGATCAAACTCTCAGAGGCCTTTTTAACAGCCCCACAGAGCTGTATCCATGTCAGAGGTTAGGAAATTTGTGATTTTAAAATAAATGATTTTTAACTTTCCAGTAGCCCTTCAGCTGTTTATCATATCCAGAAATAAAAATCTCTGTTTCCATGAGGAATCTCTCACGGAAAATGAGGTGAAAATCTACTCCTAGGTTTTACTGTTGCTATTACCACTAACTATTGTTATTCCTGTTAAAAAATAAAAAAATAATTAATGTAAGAGCAAATACTAGCTGCACAGGGCAATCTAGCACAATGGATGATATAAAGTAGGAAAAAATCTAAAAGCAAATTATTTGCAAAAACGTTTTAAAATTAGTACTTGGCTATTGGAAAAAGAAATTGAATTAAACACATATGTGAATAAAAAAATATCCAAACCTCCTGAATTGTGCATATATAATTATGAATACACAATTATGAATACACAATGAATGAATAGAACAAAACAGGTAGATACACATGGAGTTACTGCAGTTTGAAGCTACAATTTTCAGAGGATGGCACTTTACCTGTCAGCAATGTCACCAAAAATCACTGCTCCAATCAAGACTCCAAGCATGAATGTAGGCTGGATTAATTTTGCAAGCCATTCTCGGTCACAGACCAGATCCCACTGCGTAACAACAGTGCTCTTCCACTTTGTGTCATCATAGAGAAATCCATCAGAACAAGGAAATTTGGACTTGTTGCCTTTGTATTCATATGCCAGATCCAAAGTGACTTCTCGTTTGAACCTGCTGCACTGATTAAGTTCCCAAATTTCTCCATTTTCCAGCTGGACTACAATGTAATTTTCTGTTGATGTCCATAGTGTCCAGATGTCCTCTATACTTGATTCAGAAGAGTTGTAGAAAAGAACACTACTCACATTTCCAGGGATCCCACATACAAAGTTAGGAGTAACAGCCATGAACACAGATGCTAAGTAATGGATACCACATGACATAGCTTGAAAGACAGATGCAAAATAGACACATGCTTGAAATCTGTAAAGGGAAAGAAAAAAGTTTACTGAAGAAAAGCCCTCTATACATGAAAACAAAAATCAACATAATTGTTTTGCTAGGATCAGTAAATGGAGACATCATTAAAGTTTCTAGTGTTTTGTTATATAGTTTTGCTTCAATATTAGCTAAGCCCTGCAAGAGACCAAAGATGAGAAAAGATCCACAGTAATCTATTGTCAGGAAATAAACGCTGCTCTTAGTCATGTGTTTAGCCATACACAGAGAAGACCATTTAAAAAGAAACAATCCTGAACTTAAGCACTTAGTTTGAAGCAACCTTCCACCCTCCAGTTCTGTGCAGTACCTCACGCCAGAATAAGGCCTTAGATTACTGGAATGGTTAGAAAAAAAAAAATGTTGCAACCTCAGGTCCTGAGGGATAGAGATATGTGCATCAAATAAAACAAACCAAAGACATTACGCCCTTCATTTCACCTAATTGTGTCTATACAACTGTATTCTATCTATCTTCCATCTCTCTCTATTGCCTCCAAAAGACAAAGAGAGAATACATGTAGAACATGCAGAGGAAGATAGAATCTGAACAGTGTGAAATGTTTTGTACCAAAACATAGCTGTAAACTGGGTTGGGTTTTGGCTTAAACAGGGTGTGCAGTCATCCATTAAAGATTGTATCATAAAGTAAACATGGTAAAATAATGTCTTATGCATAGCCTAAATTTTAACAGCTTTTAAAACATGCTTGAGACACAAGTAAACCTTAGCATATAAATTGCACACGTATTCTGATTTTCAAAAGACTTGCAATGAACTCTAGTATCACTGACTGCAAATTCTAGACAGTTTCTGATAATCTAAGCATAACGAGTCTTTTCCTCAATTAAATGTTAAAATTATGCACATAATTAGTACAACATCTGTTCAGAAAAAACAATAGAGCTTTGGTTTCTCCTCCACTTTTTATTTCCTGAAGGCCAATCAATTGCACTAATTTGAAGAAGCATTCAATGAGCTTCTATATATACACCCTTACTGCAGTATGCAGTGGGCCTTGACAGTATGAAACAAAAAGCAGCTTTTTTTAAATGATCAGAGGTTATCTCTGCAGAAGTTACAGGAAATGATGCCTAAAAAACAATTGCCTTGAAATGTCTTCTGGGAAAAGCCAGAGCAATTCAATCCCCGTAACAAATGCGACCTCTAGATTACTCCTCTCCAAAATGTATCTAATCTAGCCTTGAATTCCTGTAATAAAGATTGCAACAGTACCTGGCCTAGGACTTTTAAATCATCTATTATCACAATTTCTAATTAATTTCTAAACAGTCTATAACCAAGGTATTTAAACAGAAATTTCTGGATACATTGTCTTAATGTCCAATTAACCTTTCCAATTAAACAGTTCTCTTGTATAACCTAACTCCATCCACCATCCTCATTCTCCTCTGCCTTTTATCCTGTGATTCTTATTTCTTTCCTTGGTAAATGTAAACCCAGTTGCCTATCCTGTCTTCCAGTGGCATTGTTGCTGTTCAGATGCAGTGCTTTTTATCCCCCTTCCTCTTGACAACAACTCTATTGACTTTTCCATAGCAGTCTGAGGAGAGGGTTGAATTGCTAAACCCACCGAGGCAGCTCAAAAGCTAGCTCCACTTCCCTCTTAAAGATGCTGTAAAGCAATCCTCACACAGATGCTGTGCTGCTCTTTCCCAGCAAACCTCGTGAGAGATAGGGTCAAGAGAAACCGAACATAACCACAGCATCCGTTAAGCCTATTGATCCCCTCTCAAGAGAACAGCTTCTTGAGGACAAAGCAGCTAGCCATAAATCAAAGCAAGGCTAAAACAGCTCTGAAAGGCTTTGAGGATATCCTGGACCACAAAAAAGCAAAGGTTATTCTGAAATGTAAGCTTTGTCCCCCTATTAATGCAGACAAATGTGGTCAACAACATTTTTTAGTTCCTCTTCTCTAGTTTCATCCTAACTGTTCCCACCAAAACACATGAACTCATTTTAAAAATAGCAGAGCAAGATCAAATTCGACAACTTGGGTTATTGTTGCAGTATGCAGAATGATTGAAATCAGGACTAGAAGACCTGTCGCAAATTAGCAAATTAAATCCCTAGAAGCTGTGTAGTTACATCCTCTACTAGCTAATAAAAAGTGGCATACCTGGAACCAGGATCCCCAGTATTTGCAATATCTGTCATTATGCATCAGGAAACTGCAGTGTCAGATAGCCCAGTTAGTATTTCCCAGACAGAGGAAGAATGAAATAGTTTCAAACTCCCATACATTCTTCTTGAGTTTCCTAATTATCTCTCGCAGTACAAGAAACTTCAGGTTCATCATTTCTTTTCTACCCAGTAAGAGTGAGCAGGAAAAATACATTTATGCCCTTTCTTGTTGGAGAGGCTTAAAAGAAGATAACAACTTGTAAGGATATGGACAGAGAAGATGGCATGAATCAACACACTACATTATTTTTTAAAAATCCAAATCCCAAGAGCATCACCAGGGCTATGATTTGGATCAGGTCTAGCTAATCTCTGCACTAACTGCTCCCTTGAGAGTTTTATCTTATCTCTTCCTGAACACTTCTTGTGATCATACTTCAACAGCCAATTTGACAGACTGCTCCACTGTCAAATCTTTCTGTTGGAAAGTTTCTCATTAAACCTAATCTTGATGTCCCCTTTTCCAGTGTAAGACTATTAACAGCTTATAAAATATCCTTGTGCAACCTTGAATAAATCTTCCTTGTCTTTTATCACTTCGTTGTACAGAATTGTCAGTTATCCCCCTCCAGTTACTTTCTAAAGCTATATAAATTACAGTCCCTTACCCTTTCCTCATTTTTCCTTTGTGTCCTGTAGAACAGTTTCCACCGCTATAAAAAGCAATAAAGGATTTATTTTAAAGAAATATCTGTGTCATGCCATATTTCACCCATCTTTGAAGGGTTTAACTTAGAACTAGATATAACTGATTCTTGTAAAAACGTTCTTCCATTTTCAGTGTTATGAAAACCTTATTCAGTTCCAACAAAGAAGTCCATTCTGTAGCGTCATTATTTTTCTTACCTAATTTGCAGCACCTATGCTAAGCAAACACAAAAAGTCAAACAGAATGCCAGATGTACATTAATAGACATAATTTATGCTGTTTATGACTTCATTTAAGAACAGCAAAACATGTGTTTTGACAGCAAAATGGCCATGTCGTTGCAGAATCCTGCAGGATGGATTGCACTGCAGTTTTTGACCTCTAACTGCTCAATAAAAAAGCCAAGGATCAGGCAGGGGGAGCAGGAATATGGGAGAATAAGGCCTGATGTGAAGTTAGAAAAGTGTTTGGCAGCACCAGTGGCTGAAGGCTTCCCACACGACACTAATGGGCTGCTCCCCTGCCTGTAAAAACTATCTGCTGCTCTCTCCAGTAAAATTCCACAATGGGCTGGCTAAGACTCCCTCTGTGTGAATATATATATACATATATATATATATATAAAAACCCCCACAAAAAATATCCTGAAAGCCCTCTTGTGCTGTGAAGGCAAAATTCATTGCCAACTACAGTAGTGTTGTAACAGCGTCCCCACTGATGCTAGATTGAAAAGCCCAGCCTTATCAGCTGCATAACGAAACTCCTGTGGGTAGGAAGAGCTTTTCTTCTAGAAAGACCAGTTGCGTAGAGGTCAGGATATTCGTTAACTTGCATCATTACCAAAAAGCAATTAATTAGGCTGTTAGTGACAACATATAGAAAGCATGAAAAATATGTAGGGAGGATGATACGTGGGATGGGAGAATACTATAGATGCATTGAACTTTGCTTTCCAGAACAGCTGAAGATTGAAAGGGGACAGAGAAAGACACAGGCCCAGCCTCATGGCAGACACAGGTTTGTTGGAACAGAGACTGGGGCAGGAGACAGTGCTGAGCAAGGAGGAACATACAGCTGCTGCCTGCTCTATTGCTAGCCCGGGATCCCTCCCTTTGGACCTTTGGGTGCATGAGTTTTATCTCAGCCCTCTCGCTGTGGCCATGTCAATGCTCTTCCCCAGCCTTAAAACCCTGGGGCTGTTTCTCGGGCGAGGGCTGAGCAGCTTCTGCTCTTTGTGGGAGGACTTGGTGCTGGGGGAGCCTGGAGCAGCCCCGCGCTGGGGCAGGAGGTCGCAGCAGAACGTATACAGGTCACACACTTCACTGACCCTCAGGCACAGGTTAGTCTATGCTGTCCTTGCTACCGACTGTAAATTATTAACTTTTTTCCCGAATTCTTAATTTAAGGACACCAGACTGATAAGAAACTCCTTTATTACTAAGCTTAAATCTCTCTATTGCAGGCAAACATGTAATATAATCCTTTTGGTATCCTCACCAAACTCCATTTTAAAAGATAAATTTCCCTGAATAAAGAAACACTGCTGCTCATGCATCAAAATGGTAAGAAAATACCATTGCAGTAGCAATAAATACTCTCGAAAGTCACCAAAACAAAACGAAGTCTGTGATTTATTTTCCTGGACTGATCTCAAAAAGGGCAGTTTTTAGCAAGGGTATTTTATATGCCAGTTATCTTCGCATACACACATCAGATTACATAACGTATATTGTTGCAAACAGTAGTTTTCAATAACCTATTTTATAGATTTTCTTCTTTTTAAAAAACACACTTTTTGCATTTTTTTTAAGATCTGTGAACATGATGACTGTACTAAAAGGTATGATAATCTTTGTCAGTGTTTTTCCATCTCTTCAGTGACTTGCCATGGGAGATAATTATTTGGCAAGCACATTTTGTCACTCTTGCCAGGAGTGTCAAATATAGAAGTCAAGAGGACTTTGTAGGTTACCGCTCCAGTATAGAGACACTTAATGAATACCAGAAGTCAAATGAGCATAAAACGGTCTTCACAACAGCTTGAGCAAGACACAACATGAAAACGTTCCAGTCTTTCTTAAAAATATTTCTGTGAAATTTCTCCCCAGTTATTCTTTTTTCCAGTTTA